GCAGGCAGGGGCTGAGGCGGGTCCGACCGCCTGCCCCCGTGCTGGGGCACAGGAGGTAGGAGGGACACGGGCACCAGGGTGGTGGGAGGGGTCTTCCCCATGTCCCCTTCCTCTGGGTCTGGTGCTGCCCTGCTCAGCAGTGTGGGGCCTCGCCTGTGGGGGGTCACTTGTGCTCAGGGTCCCTGGGGGTGCTGCCGGACCCCCGTGTGTGCCCCACAGGCATGGCCTTCCAGCGCAGCCACCGGCTGAACCTCCTGCGCCTCGTCGTGCTGCTCCTCGTGGCCTTGGCTGGCATCAAGTTCCTCTTCCGTGACAGGTGAGGTGACAGCAGGACCCCAGGCGTGGGCCAGGGTCTCTGTGCAGCCTGGTGTTGGGGGCAGCCGGTGCCCCCATGCCCCACAGCACCCCCAGCCCTGCTCTGCTCCCTTCAGCTTCACCCTGGAGCTGCACAAGCACGTCAGCAAGGACAACGGGTTCTGGGGGGACAAGGGGGACACTGGCCAGGACACTGGCCCCCAGAGCCAGGCTCTGGAGCTGTCTGTGGCAAAGATAACAGCCCCGAGGCAAGAGTCCAGGCAGCAGGTCCCCAGGGATGTCAGTGCCACTGAGATGAGGCTGGTCCACCTGGATCTCAAAGGAGCTGCCCCCAGGGTCTCCTACCTGGAGCAGGTGAGGATGCTGGGGACTGGTGGGAGATGTGATGAGGGGACAGAGGCAGAGCAAGGCCCAACCTGCTGCCTGTCCCCACTGGCTGTCCCCGCCGGCCCCCAGGGACCATGTCACCCCCACCAACCAAGCCCACCCCTGCCACCCTGCAGGTGTTTCCCCTCCTGTCCCAGCTGGGAGCCAACGGCATCCTTATTGAGTACGAGGACATGTTCCCCTTCAAGGGGGAGCTGGAAATCCTCCGCTCCCCGTACGCCTACAGGTGAGCTGGGGCTGAGCTGGGCAGGGGCTGGTCCTGGTGTGCTGGGTGTGACTTCCCTGGACCCATGCCCATGATAACCCTGGTCAGTGTCAGGCCGTGCCACCAGACCAGCTCCCTGCCCTGCCGGGTCAATATTTGTGTCCCTGTGGTAAAGTCCACACAGGTGTGGGGTGACTGGGGCCCCATGGGCAGGGTGTTGGAGGAGGAGCAGGGAGCGCCCCTTGCTCTGCCCCAGCACCTGCCCTGAGCCTGTCCCTGCACTCCCAGTGAGGAAGACATCGAGCAGATCCAGCAGCTGGCAGAGCTCCACAAGCTGGAGGTGGTTCCCCTGGTGCAGACCTTCGGGCACGTGGAGGTAGGGGGTCCCAGTCCCGCTCCTCTGCCCACATTGCAGAGGGTTCCCAGCCCCTGACGGCTCCTCCTGTGCAGTTCATCCTCAAGCACGAGAAGTACCAGCACCTGCGGGAGGTCGAGCGCTTCCCCAACAGCTTCAACCCCCATGTCCCAGACACCCTGGTCCTGCTCAAGAGCATCTTGTCACAGGTGATGGAGAAGCACAAGCGCTCCACCTGGATCCACATCGGGGCAGACGAGGTGGGCCATGGGCCCTGCAGGGACCCCAGCCCTCACCCCAGGAGCCAGGCATGCTCCCAGGGGTGCTGAGCATCCCTTTCCTTTCTCCCAAATCCAGGTTTTCCATCTCGGGGAGGGGCTGGACTCCAAGAACTGGATGAGCCGCAACAAGGGGGACACAGGGACTATCTATCTGAAGCATGTCAAGGAGGTGCTGGGTTTCATCTCCGCGCAGTACTGGGGGCTGCGGGTGCTCATGTGGGACGACATGCTGCGGAAAATCAGCGTGGGAGCCCTGCGGGGTGAGAGGATGGGAAAGGTGGCACCTGAGCTGGGGGTCTTGGCAATGCCCATGCACGTGGTCACCATGGCAGGCAGTGTCCAATGCCTGGCAGGACACCGTGTCTGGCCTGTGATGACGTGTCTCAGGGCAGCATGAGGTGCTCTGGGCATCCTCCTGCCACTGGCACCAGTGTCCACATCCCCATCCCTGCTTTCCCCACAGAGTCTGGGATAGCAAAGCATGTCTCACCTGTGGTGTGGTTCTATGCACCTGACTTCGAGGCTGAGCAGATTGGTAAGGCAGCATGCCAGTCTGCTGGGGGGCCATACCCAGCCCCCTGGGGATGGTGGCACTGGGAGCTCACTCCTGTCCCGCTGCAGGGCCGTTCCTCACCAAGTATGCAGAGAGTGGCTTCAGGGCAGTCTGGTTTGCCAGTGCCTTCAAGGGCACCACAGGACCAGCACAGACCTGGCCCCCTCTCAGCTACCACCTGAAGAACCACCTGAGCTGGCTGAAGGTGATGGAGGCCCTGCCACGGCTGGCCCCGCTGCACTTCCAGGGCATCGTCCTCACTGGCTGGCAGAGGTGAGGGGCGGTGGGACCCCTGCCCTCCCTGCTGCCCATCCGGCCCCCATGGCAGGACCCCTGCCCTGCCCTGGCCCTGCTCTGCAGGTACGATCACTACTCAGTGCTCTGTGAGCTGCTGCCCGTCGGCATCCCCTCCCTGGCCCTCTGCCTCCAGACCCTGGTGAACGGTGAGTGCTGGAGCAGCCGGCAGGGATCGGCTCGTCCCCCGTCCCCCCCACCATGGGCAGCCGTTGCCTGCAAGACCCTCGTCCTGCAGGCAGGGGCGGATGTTGGGAGGGGGGTGGGAGGCTTCAGCTCCCCCAGATTTGGGGGCGAGGTGAAGCTAGGGGTGAGTGCCTGATGGTGGGGTTGCCCGAGCCCCTCTGCCTTTCTTCTTGCCCTTCCCAGGGGCCTTCACAGAAGAGATGAAGAGGAAGGTTCTGGACACACTGGGGTTCCAGAGTGTGCAGCTGGAGCAGAGCACATGGTGCGTGGCACAGCCTGGCCATGGCAGGGGCAGCCATGGGACTGCCACCCCCATCGCCTCCAATGGGATGCACTGGAAGCGAGTGGGGTTTAGTGGCCCAAGTGCCCTGGTCCCAGCCCCCCCTGTGGTGAGGGTGGGTGCCCTCCAGCTATGCAGGGTGCTGGGGTTCACCCAGCCTCGAGTCTCAGCATGGCTGGGGCACCCCACATGTTGGACTCTCACCTTCCTCCCTTTTCCCAGTGAGGGCAGGGGGGCATTCCCTGGTGCAGAGATCTACCACATGGTTGAGCAAGTTAATGGCCACCTGAAGGAGAGCATCCTCAAAGTCCTGGAGGAGGAAAGGTAAGGGGCAGCAGGAGGAGCAGGAGGGGCTGCCTTTGGCCATGGGGCTGGAGCACAAGAGTTTTCACAGGGGTGGGGGCATGCCCAGTGTGCAGGTCCCCATCCCTGGGTGGCTTCTGAACCTCCCACTCCCCTTGTGCCTCCCCAGTGCCATCAAGGGGTGGTTCAGCCCCTATCACCGGAAGCATCAGTTTGGCAACCCCCGAAACATGGAGAGTTTTGGCAGCAAGGTGCTGAAGTACGTGGGGCTGCGAGCTGGGAGCGGTACCAGGCTTGGCTCCAGGGTCCCTAACAGGAGGGAGTTGGAACCCCTGCTCTCCTTCTCCTCTAGGCTTCATGAGGACTGGGAGAGCTTTGTCCATGACCTGCGCACCCACCTGGAAAGGGTCTACTTCCCTGACACAGTGGAGGAGTGGATGGAGGAGAATGTCAACCCCTACCTGGACCAGCTGCGGGACCTGGTGCGGGACTACAGGGCCATCATCCGCCTCAAGGCCAGGCCCAAAGTGACCTAGGGGTGTGCAGAATGCCCCCCCAGCTCCTGCTGCACCCCAAGGGTGGGCTTTGAGTGCCACCATCCTCCATCTGTGCTGGTGACTGCATCCCTGCCGTTTGTACAGAGAGCTCCTGCCTGTCCCGCAATAAAGTATTTTCGTAGACGCCGCCGGGTGCGGGAGGGGGCTGTGGCTCTGCCCCCTGCCCAGGCGGGGTGGGGGGGGAGCTGGGGCCGCTGC